GCTTCATTAAGTACTTATACAAAATTTTATTAAAATAAAACCATTTAAACTGGGTGTTCGGATTTATATGTCACTTAGTATATATTACGTACTAGCTATCAGTGGATACCATCGCTTCGCTACCAGAACAGAACAATACTTCGTTTCTCATGGAGCACCCTTTCTGAAGCAGTGGTCGCTAGACTTTTCAGTATGTGGAGCTATATACTTTGATAGTTTTGGCATACACAGTGAGCTATCGTCGTAAGCAATGTAAGCCTACTTTAATGAAACGATACTCAGTTGTATGCGACATACCTACGTGTGTTTATTTTATTAATACTAATATACTAAGTGACATATAAATCCGAACACCCAGTTTAAATGGTTTTATTTTAATAAAATTTTGTATAAGTACTTAATGAAGCATAATAAGTAAATGATAAAAATTTCAAAATGATTGCACTGCTTTAAAGCCCTTTGACCTTTAATAATGTGTGGATGCACCGTGATGTGATACGCATTCTCCAACGCGCCTAGGCATGCTTCTGATCAGGTGGTCAATGTCCTCCTGTGGTATCTCATTCCAGGCAACCACTAACTCCTCTCGAAGTGCTTCTAGAGTCTGAGGAGGACGTTGCAAATTGAGCAATCTCCTACCCATCATATCCCACATGTACTCAATTGGGGATAAGTCGGGAGATCTTGGTGGCCATGGTAACAATGTGACATCATTATGTTGAAAGAAGTCTATTGTGACTCTTGCAACATGTGGTCGGGCATTATCTTGTTCGAAAGTTGGATCTGCCAGGGTGTTAAGATAGGGTAAAAGATGGGGTTCTAGAACTTCATGGATATAACGCTGCGCGTTCGTATTACCTCTGATGAAGATTAAAGGTGACCTGGAACCATAAGCTATAGCACCCCAAACCATAACTCCAACAGTGTGATGAACATATCTTTCAACAAAAAACTGTGGATTTCTCCTTTCACCACGTCGCCTTCTAACCCTGGCACGACCATCGTGCATGCCTAAACAAAATCTAGACTCGTCACTAAAGACAATACTGTTCCATTCCTGATCCCAGAGTGACCGTTGTCTGCACCATTCAAGGCGATTACGTCGGTGTTCTCGAGTTAAAGGGAGGACCCAGTGTGGTCGGTATGAAAACAAACCAAAACTTCTCATTCGTCGGTAAACACTTCGCATGCCAATAGGTCTTCCCTGTTCTGCAAACCATTCATTTGCAATGGACCTGGTAGTGGAGAAACGGTCCCTTAAGGCTAATAATCTTAGGCGGCGATCTTCACGGTCTGTTGTTCTACGGCGGCGTCCAGTGCCCCTTGCTCTTTGCGTACGGCCTTCTCGAAGCCATGCCTGACAACACCTAACCACAGTGTCTACACTTCTTTACACTCTAACTGCAATTGCCCGAAAAGAAAGTCCAGCTTCCCGAAGTCCCACTATACGGCCCCTATCAAACTCACTAAGTTGACGAAATCGTACAGGTCTCCGTACTCTAGGCATCGGAACCGATCGTAAAGGATGTCAAAAACCAAAATCCGCCAACGTTGATTCTTTACTGCGGATGAAATATTCGTTTTTAGAGCGTTAGTGAATTAAAAAAAAAGCAGTATAAAAACCGGAATGTCCAACTGATAAGGCTGAAAATTTTTCCACTTGTTATTTACAGTAAGATAAATACATTCACCAACTTCTATTAAAATAAAACCATTTAAACTGGGTGTTCGGATTTATATGTCACTTAGTATACATACCTATAAACTCAAATAAACTAATAACTAATGCATACCACATAACTACATCCAATCGTAGGTTTTAATAAAGGTAACTAACAATGAAAAAGGTAACTAACTATTTTAAACAAAAACATGCGTGTTCAAAGAGAAGCCGGACACTCAGACTCACTGACAATTTTTTTTAATGTTTGGAGTATAATTTGATACCGCCATTCGAATAAAATTATTCAAATGTTCCTCTTTACGTCGATTACGGTATTTGTTTTTAATAAACTTAATATTTGGAAAATAAGGTTCACACAAATAGGTGGAACTAAAGCCTAGTACTCACTAGTAGACATGTCTCGCGATTTTGGTCTCAGAGACATGTCTAAAGTTGTCTCAGTATGTCTCGGTAGACATGTCTATAGACCAAATCCGGTCTACGGGGCGGTTGCGAAACTAAAAATCGCAGGTCTCAAGTCTCCCGATTGAAATGGGAGACTTGATGCAACGTTGGGATACGTTGCGCAACAAGGTGATAGTGAATACCTCGCGTCTATAGACGAGACATTTCCCAGTCCCTCTCTCGCGTTGTAAACAAGTGCATGCGGTCTCTGCTGTTTTTGTTTACCATGTGGTCAAACGAAAAAGTTTTAAAACTTATTGAAGACTATCATACCTCGGTTTGTTTGTGGGATGTAACGAGTCCCGATTACAAGAACCGGGTGAAAAGAAGAGCGGCCCTGGAATCACTGGCTGCAAAGCATATGGTTTCAATCGAAGAAATAGAAAAAAAAAATACATAATCTTAATTTATTTAATAGTTCAGTACCGAACCTAGGTCCTTCTGCCAACACTTCGCGCGTCCACCAACGTTTACGTTTTCGCGCTTTTTTACTAGAAAATATTACTAAACAGGCACTCATTGCGCACAAAGCAAGGTCCGCCATGGTGGTTGGCGAAGATGAGACTAGAAAAATTCACATCACAGTGTGGACGCTAGACGAGGCAAAGATCGGTGTCTCTACACCATGTCTATGTCTCAAGTCTAGACGGTCTCTAGACCACCTAAAGGAAATCGCGCAACGTGGTCTCCAAGTGAGTACTTACCTTAAGTAACGCTTTCACTTTCAAGGCAACACGACAAAAAAATCTTTACTTACTTAACGACAGATAAATTTTGAATTTGAGACTAATTGGTTTTAAAGCTAAACCATTTTGAAAAGCAATCACTTCCATTTCTGTCGTAGCGATGTCTTCGCTAGAATTCTGCGTAACAGAAGTTGCAAACTGTTGGATATCAATTTCCTTGAAGGGTTTTATTATATCGAAGCAGCCGCTCAAGCTAAATGCTGCAACACCGCGGCTACTATGAGGATCCCAAAGACATTTTGTTAATCCGATTCTTGAACTGCACAAGGTTAGTAGAACTGGAAAAAGTTTCCTCTCCTAGATTGTTTCACAATCTCGACACCCTCGGGACAAAGGAGCGGTCGTATCGGCCAGTTCGACACGGTTAGGATGGGACGCCAAAGTCTGGCGGGTCTGTCTGGGAGAGGGGGAGGCAGCAGATAAATTTGGGTGATGTTTTGGAGTTGAGGCAAAGCCACAGAATGTCCTTCCGGTCTGATTCCAAAGAAACATATCTGGAGCAGGAAAGACTGCTGTGGACAAAAGCCACAACTCCCCCGTTCTTTCTCAGATTGGAGTGCACCTGGTAGTTTGGGAAGTTAAGATGGTTAGTCGGTGCAGACTCTGAGATTTTTGTCTTCGCCAAGAAAAGCACGGCGGGATGATTGGATTGCAGGTAGTGATGAAGAGCATCAATGTTGCTGTTAATCCCGCAGATGTTCGAAAAACAAATTTTATCCTCGATGTTGTTCCCTCGAGCCCACCGTCCACCCGGACATTCCGAGAGTGGAGTGAGTTTACGTCCGGAGTTCTTAGTGCTTGAGGGATCCATCATCATTAATTTTTTTGTTTTAGAAGATAGCCGTGGGTGAAACAACAAATTGCTCCACTATAGCAATTTCGATGAGATCCTTGAAACGATTTTTGAAGCTATCCTTCAAGTTAGAGACTATTTCTACATGATATTTACTGTCATATGGTTCCATGGACTGAGATATATTTTTTAAAAGAACAGCAAAATGGCTGGTATCGCCTTAGATTAAGTTTTGTTCCCATAACTCAAGCTTTTTGATAAACGCTTTTGTATCAGAAATTATTTCTGCTTGTTCTTTGCTTCTCCCCTGAAGCTGCACATCAGATTCATTTAATATTTCTGTAATATCCACAAGAAAACCAAAATCTCTAATACAGATTGAATTTTCCAGTTCCGGAATCGGTTCATCACGTTGTTCGAAAAAATGAACTATGGCAGATGTGAGATGATTAAAACGTTTCAGAACTCGTCCCCTACTTAACCATAGGACTTCAGAGTGAAGAAGCAGTTTCCCGTATTCTTTGTAACGCTTCAGCTCTAATCATGTTCATAATTTTTACTGTCAACTTCATAACGTTGTTTAGATTTTGAAAATGTCCACATAATGCTTGTTGATGGATAATGCTGTGGTAACAGAGAAATTGCAGAAAACCTTCATTTTTAAGACATAACCCCACGAGTCTCTTATCATGACAAACCATAGCTGGAGCATGGATTGTCAAACCTACCAGTTTCGATATTGGAATTTTCTCAGAAGAAATAATATTTTTAAAAGAAGAAAACAAGTCAGTAGTCTGTCCTTTTAGTGGAATAAATTTCAAAAGGTAAAATCACTAAAAACCATCCTGACGAACGAACACAGCCATTTGAGAGGTATCAACGACATCTGTGGATTAATCCAGCTGCAGAAAAAAATAAGCACAATATTGCTCATTACTTTTACTCGTCTCATCACTGTATTAGCAGAAAGTTGCATAGATTTCATAGCATACACGTCTTTATTTCTAAAATAATGCATCTGCAGTTTCTAAAAACGCCTGTTTTATCATTTCCCCGTCTTTCTAAGGTTTCTTCTTTTGTGTAATTACCTGGAACACCCGGTATGATGCTTCACTTGCAGCCTTACTTTTGTCGATTGTCTTTAAAAACATTGTCCGTTGTCCAATTAACTGACTTCTTAATTGTTTCAGTTTTTCCGTTCTGGTTGCACGGACCACTTTCTAATTGCGATTACCTTATCGTTGAATAAAACGTGGCAATATTGCCAGTTTGTAGATTCTGTCAAACATTTTTGAAATGTGACAGTTTCTATGTGTTCAAGAGGGTTATCAAAATGGAAAGGAATCAGAAGAAATGGGAACCGAATTTTACTGCTAATGAAATGATTCATTTATTTAAAGTAAAAGTGCGCGGTTATGCGAAAATATTAGAGGACAAGAAGGCCGACACAGCTGCTAAATCTAAAGCAATGCTTGGAACCAAATTGAAAAAGAATTTAACTCCTCTTCTCCCTCTACTGCATACAGAAAAGCCGAGTCATTGATAATGTTGTATGAATATAAGAAAAAAGAATTAAGAAGGAAAATAAGTGAGGAGAAAAACCGAAGATTTTTAACTGGTGGTGGAGCGTTGCCTGTTATGAAGTGTGCGCCTGTAGTCGCTCTCCAAATGTCTTTCCCAGACTCCACAGAGGTCTAAAAGAAGACCGAAGCAAGTTGTGACTGCTTTAACATCTTCCGATATTGCCTCTAAATGCAATCTAGTCTGAGACAAAATACTGACTTTATTGGAAAAACGAAAGCTACAGATGAAGAGCAAGAATTTATAAAAATGGAAAGAAAACTTAAACTAGATTTGCTTTAGTTAAAAATTTCTAATCAAAAACTAAATTTAAATTCCAATGCCTTACAATGAGAATTATTACTTTGTGTTATGATACTATACGTATATGTTAACTTTTTTTCAATGCAATAAAATACTGTAGCAAAGTTTTAAAAAGTATGTAGTTTTTCCACAAATTGTGTGTTTATTATCTAGATGTTTTATAAATACACTAAGTGACATATAAATCCGAACACCCAGTTTAAATGGTTTTATTTTAATAAAATTTTGTATAAGTACTTAATGAAGCATAATAAGTAAATGATAAAAATTTCAAAATGATTGCACTGGTTTAAAGCCCTTTGACCTTTAATAATGTGAGGATGCACCCTGATGTGCTACGCATTCTCCAACGCGCCTAGGCATGCTTCTGATCAGGTGGTCAATGTCCTCCTGTGGTATCTCATTCCAGGCAACCACCAACTCCTCTCGAAGTGCTTCTAGAGTCTGAGGAGGACGTTGCAAATTGAGCAATCTCCTACCCATCATATCCCACACGTGCTCAATTGGGGATAAGTCGGGAGATCTTGGTGGCCATGGTAACAATGTGACATCATTATGTTAAAAGAAGTCTATTGTGACTCTTGCAACATGTAGTCGGGCATTATCTTGTTGGAAAGTTGGATCTGCCAGGGTGTCAAGATAGGGTAAAAGATGGGGTTCTAGAACTTCGTGGATATAACGCTGCGCGTTCATGTTACCTCTGATGAAGATTAAAGGTGACCTGGAACCATAAGCTATAGTACCCCAAACCATAACTCCAACAGTGTGATGAACATGTCTTTCAACAAAAAACTGTGGATTCCTCCTTTCACCACGTCGCCTTCTAACCCTGGCACGATCATCGTGCATGCCTAAACAAAATCGAGACTCGTTACTAAAGACAATACTGTTCCATTCCTGATCCCAGAGTGACCGTTGTCTGCACCACTCAAGGCGATTACGTCGGTGTTCTCGAGTTAAAGGGAGGGCCCAGTGTGGCCGGTATGAAAACAAGCCAATAGCCAATAGGTCTTCCGTATTCTGCAAACCATTCATTTGCAATGGACCTGGTAGTGGAGAAACGGTCTCTTAAGGCTGCTCCGACGCAGTGAGTTTCAGGCCATTTACAAGGGTTTAGCTGCTTCGGAATTGACGCTCCATTTTTCTATATATTTGAATAAAATTTATACAGTAGTTTCAGAAGACAATTGTCCAGGGTGCTATAGAGCCACTTTTCTAAAAAAAAATTTTTTTCAGGAGTTATGGTGGGTGGAAGTGCAGCATAATTGTTGTTCGACTTCTGGATTTTTTTAAAAATAACCCAGAGGAAAAAACGAAAAAGTGGCTCTATAGCACCCTGTGGAGTCTTGTTTTTAGTGCACTGTGAAAATTTCATTGAAAAATATTCAAAAATGAAGGGTCAATTTTGAAGCGCGAAAACCTCTGCAATTAGGCTTTTACACGAATTTTATCCACTATCTCGTGCTGCCAGTCGAAGCAACGCGGCGGTGTGTACGGACTAAGAAAGGACGTATTCAGATAATTTGTTGTCCCAAGTTAAACAGTAGAAGTTTTAACGTCGGTCGTTCGAGATAAACATCGGACCAGTAAGTGATATTTTTAATAGACTTCAATGAAAGAGGGGACATTTTTAATCGATTTTGATCATTTCTTTTTATACAATAGGCCATGCTTCAGAGGTGATACCACAAAAAATCATTTTTGTTCAATCACCCCAATATGGATATCAAATGGAAGCACTTGTACAAAACAGTAATACGAAAACAGTTTCAAATCAAGATGGCGGCCGTTACAAAATGGCGGATAACATACTTGCTAATATCTCAAATAAGAGTCGTCGCCTTGTACAATACAGTACTTCACTAAAAATTTGATTCCAAGATTGCCGCCGTTTCGAAATCGCGAGTTACATATTTTTGTACAAAACCCCCAATTTACATATCAAATGAAAAGACTTGACATGTGTGGTAAAATACAGAACTTTGTGACCAAAAGTTTCCAGGTGGTTCCAGGGTCATTGGAGGCGGTAATCTTTTTAGTTAAAAATAATAATTATAGTGAACGCATTTAACACAAATAAAATGTCACTTGCTGTTTAGCTTTAACCTTATGGAGTATCGTAAAATAAGCTTAACACGATAAGCGTCATGAGATATAATGCGTGTGTCGCACCTCATTTGGCGCTTTGGGCCTCGTGACACACATTATATGTCTCACTGCTGGCAGTTATATTTGGCCGCGTAACGTAAGACGTGTGCCATGCTGATGTGATTTTCTTACGGGAACCAAGAGTCCGTGGCCTGAGGGACCAAATTATACTGATTTGGAAATGAAAACATTAAAAAACACGTTGTTTATAGAGTTTTACAAAAAGAGGATATTCTACAAATCTAAAACAAAAAGCAAATCTTATAAAATAGTCAGACATTCTCATTCAAAAATGAACAAAGTAATTTCACAGCAAATCAGTAAGTTATGGTAAATGTCGATATTCTAACGAACACAAATATGGCGGAACTCTTATAAACTAAACAGATTGACAAAGTCTTATGCAGGAATAAACAAAATACCGGTATAAATAAACAGTAATACAGATAAACATGGAATTACTACAACTACTATCTGATTCACTACCACTTGGAGAATACGCATCAGATAAGTATACATCCCCACATAACTCAGTACTGTCACTCTCTTCATCCGATAGTATTTCATTACACAATTGTTCAAGCCTTTTTTGCTCCGCTTCGTAATGCGACATCACAAATTTGGTATTCAATAATTTATAAACAGTAAAGCAATATGGACAAGATGACGTACAATACCAACAACGCTTCAATTATAAATGACAGGAAACAGTGGTCAATGCGCGACATGAAGCAAGTCTTGACTTGCAAAAAACGCGACGCGACTTATGTGCCACGCGGCCCGACTGGTCTGTGGGCCACGCGACATATAACTAGTACCTCAGAAAAAAAATCAAAAAAGGGGAAAAATCATAGGATTTGAGAAAAAAGTCAAGTCAAAATATTAAACCGAAACTTGAAACAAGCTAATTTGACAATAATAACAGTTTGGCCCAGTGGACTGGATTTTCAGATTCTACTGTGGCGCTTAACGTGTCAATGTGACATTTCAATATTCGCCATCTAACAGACTAGATAAAGCTAGCCGATGCTACGTGCTATTGAGCCTGACGATTGACTTTTATTTAAATAAACAACATATACATAATTTACAATAAATAGTGAACATCTAGTACTAGTACCAAAATGGAAGAGATTAGCATAACATCTCGCACATCGCTGCTAAACCGAGATCTGCACACCGCATTTGCCGACACGAAGGGGTTAGTAACGGCGTACAATGTAATATGCTAATCTCTTCCATTTTGGTACCCGAGTACAGCAAAAATAGCCAATTCTCAAGAACTCTTTTTCTTGTTCAAACGGTTCTCTTGTGCCTTCAAGATCACATCGGGATCGCGGATTGGCATATTTCTGCTTTTCCTGGGATCGACCAGTTCTGGGAGCAAGCAGTTCATGTAGAAGAATTTCAATTTCTCTTCCATTTCATTTTTCCAGAAAACGTCATCCTTTTGAATGCCGTCTATTTTCAAACCATACGGGGTCCAAACACCAAGCACACAGTACTCTCTTTGTGCAACGTGTAGCTGCCCTTGAATTTGGTAATACCACTTATGTTTTCTATTTATTTCATCGTTTATCCAAAACGTAATTTTTTTGTTCAGAATGCCCTCTTCAGGGGTCATTTCTCTAGCCGACCGTGGACATTTAATTTCTAGCAGACCTTTTTCGCCTATCAAACCATCTGGCGATGCTACCAGAAATGGATGGGTCCTATCAATAAACAACCCGCAAGATTGTACTTCTGATTGCGAATATGGTTTCTCCATTTTTGCCTTTGCCACGCTTTCATGCTTTTTTCCATAGTCACATGCATTGCTAAAGAATTCGGTTGGGTATATTATGGTGTTTACTAGAGCTCTGCAACTTGTTGTATATCTTCTTCTACAAACCTCACCAAACCGAGACGCAGTCAACCTCATTCTTCGATGAAGACGCCACAAATTGCAATCCTGAGATTTTGTGGCTTGCTCGATCTGGGAAATTTTGGAGTCGGTTTTTGCAAGTTTTTTCAAGAATTCTACCTTGGCAGCCTCTATATCTTCGTTGCTCATGTCAGGCTTCCCACAGAATTCCCCATAGGATGCATTCTCTTTAGTATCAGTATCTCTGACTTTAATTTTCCTTGGTTTCAGCTTCCTTTTCAGATTTTTGTGCGCTCTCCTTTCTTCAACTTTAGCAATCAAAGAGGTTGGACTGAAACTAGGGAGTAGCCGCTTTTGGATCACACAAACAGGTCGCTGTGTATTGTGGCTCACTACGGCTGCAGCACATCTTCCTTGGTAGGATCTCTTCTTGCAATAATTAATCCGTTTACCCCCAATGAATTTAGCTATGATTGAGTTAAACTGCTCTACTATACTATTATCGACGTCATGAAGTAAACGTACTGCATTTTTAATCAGAATTGCCAGAAATGATATCAGCCTCTGGTGCAAATCTAAAAAAAAAGGGTATACACACCTGAATTTGAAAATATAGTTATAATAGTAACTACGTATAGTCTAATTTA